TTAATAGCAGTGGCTATACCAAGATGTACCTGGTATAGTTGATTAAACTTTTCTGGTGGGTAAATGATACCCAAAGAAAATGTCAGCAATTCCCTTTTTTACCGACGGTCGGTAAAAAAAAGATCGGTTAACTAAAATTTGCCCTACCGGCTAAACAAAATAACTCGACGCAAAAATTGACGCCATTTGTTTGGTTATCAACTGTCTTCTGCCTCATGCGCAGGTAGTCAGCCATTATGCGGCTTTAATACGTATGAATAACTCGGCGAAACGGCCTGAACTATTTTTAATAATAATAATAATAATAATACTAATAACCAATGATTAAATGAATGCCATTATGCGGCTAAGCTTACTAACTAATGCCCCCGCTGGGGCGAGATAGGGAATCCGAAGGGGCGGCCGTGCATGTGCCCGGTCGCAAGGTTTGATAGGAGAGACGACCCTAACTATGACATTAAGATGATGATTCGTGAGGTAATCAGGGAAGAACTAGGCTCTCAAAGAGAGTCGAGAACACGAACTAGATTACTCCAGGCAAAGCTCGGGCTTTGAGCTGTCCTGCTAAGTCAATAGTTAGAGATAGGTCAAAGAATCGTGTGAGAGGGAGCGGTGAAACCTCTAAATCCTCCCAAGGTCCTCCTAGACAGGATGACACAACTAGGGAAACGGGCTTGGACTCTCAGCGGCTCTCCCAACAGGCGTATAAAAAGCCCTGGTCAACTGTGGTCGGCCGGAAGGCTAAGAGGAAGGAGAAACACGCATCCATTCAACAAGGCATTTCATCACAACAAAAGAAGAGCCAGACTAAGACTGGACCAGGTCTGAAAAGAAAGCCACCAAAATCAGCGGCTGTCCAGATTACAGCGATGGAGGGCGCCTCATATGCAGACACCCTGCGCTTGGCAAAGTCCAAGATTAATATCGGAGAGATGGGCATAACCAACATTAAACCTAGAAGAGCTAAGACGGGGGCACTGCTGCTGGAGATATCAGGCCAAGATAAAGAGCTAAAAGCAGATGAGTTGGCGAGTAAACTGGAGGAAGTCTTTCAGTCTCAGGAAGACATTAAAATATCTAGGCCTGCTAAGCTCACAGAGATCAGATTGGTTGGTCTCGACGATGCTGTGACATCTATAGACATCCTCGCTGCCGTCGCCCTGCAAACGGCGTGCAACTCGGTGGACATTAAGACAGGGCCTATTAGACAAGTACGTAACAGAATGGGCTCTACTGTTATTAAATGTCCGATTGTAACAGCGAACAAACTGATCGACATGAAGAAGATCTTGATCGGATGGTCTACCGTACGTATAGTTCCCCTACCCGTCAGAAGGCAGCAATGTCACAGGTGCTGGGAGTACGACCACGTGAAAGCCGAGTGTAAAAGCTCGAAAGATAGGATCGTGCTATCGCTGCGGGGGAGAGGACCACTTAGTCCTGTTATGCCCGAACGAGGTCAGATGCGTTATCTGCGAAGAACACGGGGCGCCTTTCAACCATCGAATGGGGGGCCCATCGTGCGACCCGACGAAGAAGAGGCCAACGCGTATACTGAATAACAATGGAGTCAGGTCGGGAACAACCGACACAACTGGTAAGACTATGACGGATCATAACACTTCTGTTGCTCCTCATAACAGCTCTGCTGAGGTCACTAAGAATCAGAACAGGGATAAAGATCAAAAAAAGGAAGCGACAGTCGCGCAAGCACCAGATATAGATATAGACTCGCAAACGCTTGTTATCAATGATATCGAGATGAGCGAACCCGCTGACCCAGGTTTGAAATCTCTTCAACCTCCTGTGTCCGTGGATTGGAATATTCTGGAAGATAGCGATACCACGGATTGGACACTGCCACAGGATGGAAAGTCAGACTATAAATCGCAAAATGTCTAACACGCTGATACAAGTAAATCTAAATCATGCTAGGGCTGCGCAAGATCTACTGATCCAAACGATGATCGCGCAGGATGCGGGTCTTGCGGTGGTTGCGGAACCATATCGAGTTCAGGAACACCAGCACTGGTTCTCCGACACTGAGAGTAGGACGGCAATTATTTGGAGGAGGGATAAATTCCCGTTACCCGTCTCCCTGGTTGGCTCTGGAAATGGATTCGTCACGGTCAGATGGGGAGTCATGTTTGTGACCGCCGTTTACTGCTCACCTAACGTTGGCGAGGATGTGTACAAAGAGTGGCTCGAGGAACTGGCGCGGCATATCTCTGCCCTCATCGATCAAAAGTTTCTGCTCTGCGGAGACTTCAATGCGAGGTCATCCGTGTGGGGTGACAGATGCACCAACAGACGCGGTAGAATCCTCCAGGAATGGGCGATTTCGCTAGGACTCATCTGTATAAATGAAGGCTCCAGCAGCACATTTGTCGCATCGAGAGGTGAATCCATAGTGGACACGTCATGGTCTTCGGTCGGTCTGAAGAGCGGGATCTTGAGCTGGAATGTGCTCCAGGATGAGACGATGTCCGACCACCTCTATATTCGGATAAGGATCGGCCTCTCAGCTGGCCAGAGGAGGAAGAGTCGCATCAAGGAAACAAGATGGGCGGTCCGGAAAATGGACCTTGACCTTTTTTGCGCGGCATACGAGGTAATAACCTGGAATCCCTCCCGTCTGACCGCTCCTCCGGACTCGAAGATAGATAATTTGGATGAGGAAGCGGTAATTATACAGGAAGAAATGGCGGCAGCCTGCGATGTCGCAATGCCCAGGGCCAGATACCGCTCGAAAACACAAGTTCCTTGGTGGTCCGTTGAGATCGAAGAACTAAGGACTGCGGCGATGAGAGCGAGAAGAGGCATAAAAAGGGTGAAGAAAAGAAGCGTCTCTCAGGAGAAACTTCAGCAGAAGGTAGCCGAATATCGTAGAACTAAGAAAGAGTTGAAAGGTGCAATCTGCCGCTCAAAAAAGAAATCCTGGAAGGACCTATTGTCATCATTAAATGAAGATCCGTGGGGGACAGCCTATAAGATGATTTTGGGTAAACTCCGCTATTGGACGGTTCCGTTTACAGAATCCCTGCAACTGGACTTCTTGGAAGAGGCTCTGCGAACCCTGTTTCCGCTTCCTCCGGAGGGCCAGCGGACCTGGGTGGAGGACGACGCACTCCAGGAGTCTGGACACGGACAGTGGCTTCCAGATATGGAGGTATCGCTTCAGGAGATCAGGACAGCTATGATCAGGATGCGCGAGAGGAAGGCTGCGCCTGGCCCGAGTGGAATACCCAGTCAAGCGTGGGTCCCTGCGCTGGACTATGTTCATAATAATCTCAAGAACGTATTTGATCAATGCTTGAAGAAAGGGATTTTTCCCAAAAAGTGGAAGAAGGCGAGGCTATTGTTATTGCGGAAGGACAACAAACCGGCGGACTCTCCATCCGGGTATAGGCCGATCTGTTTGATCGACGATGACGCCAAATTATTCGAACGAGTCATTGTTGGAAGAATCAATAAATTTCTGGAAATCCCGCGCGGGGGTTCCAGACTAAACGCGGCGCAGTTTGGCTTTAGAAAAGGTCGCAGCACGACGGATGCCATCATCCTTGCTAGAAAGACGGTCGAAGAGTATATTGAAACAACCGGTGGAGTTGTCGTCGGGGTTGCGATTGATATCAGCAATGCATTCAATTCGCTGCCGTGAGATAGCATAGGTTTGGCCTTAAAGAACTTAAAGATGCCTACGTACATAAGGAGGATTATACGAGCATACCTCTCGGAGCGTTATCTATCGTATTTTGATAGTCAAGGTAGCGAGCGTCACAGGAAAATAGAACGTGGTGTACCGCATGGCTCCGTTCTGGGCCCTTATCTGTGGACATTAGGCTATAACGAGGTCCTGAAGAACGTGGACCTCCCAGAGGACTGTTCAGTCATTGCGTACGCGGACGACACTCTGATTTTAGCAGGAGGATTAGATTGGCAAGAGGCATTTCTGAAGGCGAACCTGGCCACTCAGTCAGTGGTGGAAAACATACAAGCGTTGGGCCTTTCGATTTCGGCCCCAAAGTCCGAAGTAGTCTCCTTCAGAGGAAGCAGACGCGGACCTCCCGAGAATACGTGCGTTAGAATAGAAGGAACGGATATACCTGCTAAAAGTTTCATCAGGTACCTAGGCGTACTTGTAGACTCTAAGTGGAACTTTGAAAAGCACTTCGCGATGATCAAAGATAAGCTGATGCGTGTCGTGAATAGGTTGTCCCGGATCTTGCCAAACGTTGGCGGTCCCAGCTCGAGAGTGAGAAGATTATATTCAACAGTGACCGATTCGATCGCGCTGTACGCAGCGCCAGCCTGGACGGATAGAATCCAAACTAGTAAGAAGATTCTAAGAATCTTACAACAGGCACAGCGTCGCATTGCAAGCAGGGTGATCAGAGGATACCGTACTATCAGTTTTGCATCGGTGTTCTTACTGGCGGGACTTCCCCCTTTGGCCCTCAAGGCCGACATGTATGCGGAGATATATGACGACACAAAGACGGCAAAAGCGGGTGGCAAGGTGATCGAGCCACATCAGTTGCGGATTATTAAATTCCGTGCTAGAGAGAGGCTATACGCCAGGTGGTCGGAATTGATTCGTCTTCCCGAATACAAGGGAGGAGAAGTAGGTCGCGCATTGCGACCTTACTTGCGAGAATGGAGCGAACTGAAGGTAGGACTGTCCTACAGCTGTTCCCAGATGCTCTCAGGACACGGCTGTTATGGGCAATTTTTAAATAGGATAGGGAAAAGATCTACTCCCGGGTGCGACCACTGTTCCGCGGCGTTGGATAGCTCGAATCACACGCTGAACGAGTGCCCGGCTTGGGACACGGAGAGGACTGATCTGAGAGCAAAGATCGGTGAGCCAGACCTAACACTGGAGGTCTTGATACAAGATCTTCTACGTAAGGGCGAAAAGAGGGAAGCGGTCCTACAATTCTGCGACAAGGTAATGTCTGCCAAAGCCGCCGCTGAAAGAGAAAGGGAGAGAGGAGGATCACCAACCGATCCTGGAGGCGCTGTGACGACTGGTGGGGGGTACCTCCCCCACGGACGACGACAACACGGACGGAGAAGACGCGACCAGGGACGCTTTCACCCCTATCGACGGGGTTGACAATGGACCGGTGACGTTTAACCTGACTAAATCGACGGAAGGACTCACCCATCAAATACAATGGACGGTGACGCGACTATGACGTCTTTTACTGACACGGCATGGGTGTCCGGTTAATCCGGTCCCCCTGCCGGTGCCGCCCCCATCTGCCTGAGACCCTGTGGGATGCAGGGAGCGGGTGACTCCCCGTCTCCTAAAAGTAGGGCAAAGGGTGGGTGGCGGAGGATCCTGGTGTCCTCCTCTGCCACAAAGGTTAGATTAGGAGGGAAGCGCAATAGCGCTATGGGCTGGGGGCGCGGGGTGTTTTACTGCAGTATGGATCCCCCGCGTCCTCACCTGCGCCCCAGGTAGGACACCCGTCAGGTTTTAGTGGGTAGGCTCCGATCGCTCCTGCGGTCGGGGAGAGTCCCACATAACACCTCTCCCCTCCCCGGAGGAGTGGGGATATGCGTAATGCATTTCCTGACGATAAAAAAAATAAAAATAAAAAAGACACCGCACCGGCCAGCCGGCGACGGGACTGGGCCGAGGTACGGAGAGGCAAGCACACTCAATCACTCAACCAGTCAGGTACGCATACACACGGTAAGTCCAACCCCACCGACACCCAGGCACCAGATACCTCACCGGCCCGCCGGTGACGGGACTGGGCCAGGGGACGGGAGGGCAAGCACACTTATGGAACCCTACTTAGTTCCCAACCATACCCATTCCTTCCTTGGCCTTTAGGACTTCCCTAACAAAGCTCACAAAGATAGGGTATACTCTCTCCGAAGTGAGTGCTTCCCTAACCGGAGGCCAACCTAATCCTAGGTCGCGTAAGCTATTCCTAAAGCTAACTCGAACGGCTTCAAAGCGTTCACATTCAAATATCGTGTGCTCCGACGTGTCACGCTGACCACATTCACAATTAGGAGACTCACACAATCCCAGCGCATACAGCTTGTCCGCAAAGTTACCGTGGCCCGAGAGGACCTGAGTCACATAATAGTCAAGTAAAAGCCATTTCATCCTCATTCTTTCCATTATATTAGGAAAATACTCATACGTTAATCTACCCTTTGTAGACTCCTCCCATCTTCTGCTCCATACCCTCATCATCTCGCCTCTAACTTTGTTCCTAATTTCACCGAGTGGCATGTCTGGCGTCGATCTAAAAACCCCAAATTCTACAGGCTGTCCGCACGAAGCCTCATACATCAACCTTCTTTCTCTTAGTAGCAGGTCCAAAGGCTTGAAACCTGCCAGGACTTGCAGCGCCTCCGTGGAGACCGTTCTGTACGCCCTAACAGTTCGCAACAGGGCATATCTCTGCGCTCCCCTCAGCAGTCTCAAGTGTTTGCCACTTATAAGATCTTCCCAAGCTCTCGCTCCGTACGCAACCACCGCAAGAAACAGACCCGTGTACAGGACAGCCAAGGTGGCATACTTCAATCCCCACAC